GAATTTTATGAGTGAGACATGTCTAGCATCATTTCAAAAAGTTCCACTCACCAGTTGTGTCGAGTTTGTTTTTTTCAGGTACTCCTGTATGGCACTGTCATGTGGGACAAAAATGGTGTAATCTCTAGTTGGGATACGGTTTTCCAAGTTGTAGAGCTAAAAAAACAGAGACAACTATGCTTATGTAACAAAGTTATTCTGTTACTCTTGTACAGTTTTTGAAAATATTGAGTAAGTTATATTTCTAGGCAAAACACACCACCGCTGTCTGCCTGAAAAGGCTGAATTCTGGCGTGTCGTTCAGGAGCTTCATCAAACTGGGAGGCGGTGGAGGGAAATCAGATAGAGGAGGTCGAAGAACCTGTAAGCAAATTTGTCAGAAAAATCTGAAATGTTTCATATTTCAGAGAACAATGGGATTGTTATGTTCAAACTAGACATTAACTTTTTTAGAAAGAAATCAGTGTTTCTGGTGAAAAAACATTGGCAACACAATGGGCTGCCAAGGCGTTGCTAAGGTGCCAAGGAGTTCTAAATGGTTTTAGAGTGTTGCTATGCAGTTGCTAAGGCATTCTACATGTTTTAAAGGGGTCATATGATGCAATTTCAATTTTCCTTTCTCTTTGGAGTGTTACAAGCTGTTTGTGATCATAGATAAGATAAGATATTCTTTATAAAATTTAAGACCATAGACTGTATAAAAACATGGACGTAGTGTCCGTGACGTCACCCGTAGGTTTCTGAAGAGCATTTTTGAAGCTCAAAGTGGGCGGAGCGGGCCGTCGCCATCTTGGCAGTGCGTCACTCCCAGATAATAGAAAATGGGCGGGAGCTGGTTGTTGAAACCATGCCCACCTAGCTCGAAGGCGGTGACAGCAGCGGCAATCCACCTGTCACTCAAGTGGCCACGCCCTTAATTATGCAGAACTTTAAGGCTTAATATAATTTAAAACGGATGAGTTCTAAAAAAATTCACCCCCCTCACAGTTGTCATGAATGGCAAAATTAGCTACAGTATATA